CCCCCCCCCTTTCCTCTCTTGCTCTCCTAGCTGGCCAACAGTGCTTGATTACTTAACCAGTATGAGAAACATGTTTACAGCATGACATGTCCCATCACTGTTGATGTTTTATCTATGTGAAAACCCATATATGAGTGAGTACTTACCATGTTCCTCATTTTTTTTTACAGGGTTACCTCATTCAGGATGTTTTTTTTCAAATTCCCTCCATTTGCCTGTGAACTTCAAGATTCCAATTTTTTCCCCACACAGAAGTATTCCATTGTGTTAATGTGCCACGACTTTGTAATCCATTCTTCAGTTGACGGGCATCTAAGTTGTTTTCAGGTTCTTGCTACAAACATAGTTGAACAGATCTTTTTGTTGTATGGATGTGGTTCATTTAGATATATCCCAACTAGTGGGATATATCCCAATCCAGTAATTGACTGATTTTGATTTTACTGAGCAACCACCATAATTATCTCCAAAATGGCTGTACAAGTTTGCACCCCAACAGCATTCAAGGAGGGTTCCCCTTTCTCTACATCCTCTCCATCATAGGTTGTCATTGGTGTTAATAATTTTAGCAATTCTACCAGGAGTAAGACATTATCTAAGAGTTGTTTTTATTTGCATTTCTCTCATAGCTAAGGATGATGAGCACTGTCTTAAGTGTCTTTCAGCCTTTTCTATTTCCTCTATTGATAATTCTTTATTTAGTTCTGTACCCCGTTTTTTTTAAAATGGTGATTTGGTGTTTTGGTGACTAGCTTCGTGTTTTCTCTGTATATTTTTGGGATCATCCCTCTGTCAGATATAGGGTAATAGAAGACCATTTCCCAGTCTCTGGGCTGCTGTGTGATCTTACCAACTGTGTCCTTTGCCTTACATAAGCTTCTCAGACTTTCTGCAGTCTTATATACACACCAACAGCCAGTTATGCCAGCAACATTTGTTAAAGATGTGATCCTCCTCCCATTGTATACTTTTGGCTGTATTGTTTTGTCAAAAATCAGATGATTGTAGGTGGGTGGGATATTATCAGGGTTTTTGATACAATTCCTTTTGTCTACCTATATATTTTTGTGTCAATACAAAGCTGTTTTCAGAATTATAGTTCTATAGTACAGCTTCAAGTTGACAATGGTGATGCATAATGAAGTTTGTTTATTGTACTTGGTTGTATTGGCTATTCTCAGTCTTTTGTTTTTCCATTTAATATAGGTTATTATACTTTCAAGGTAAGTGGATAATTCTGCTGGGATTTTGGTGGGGATTGCAATGAATTTTTAGATTTCTTTTGGCAAGATTTCTATCTTTACTATATTTATCCTACATATCCATGGCCATGGTAGTTCTTTCTGTTTTATGGTATCTTCTTTATTTTACTTCTTTAAAGTGAAAGACCTAAAAAGTAATGTTAATGATGGACTAACCTAGAAACCAATATCTGTTCCTTGGAATTTGCTAGCTTCCTCTCAAAAGGCCCTGAGATAAGAAGAATTCACACTGCCCCTCCTTTCCTGTGAGTCAACAGGTGGTAAATAGGGTCCTTAGGAAACAAAGAGATAGCTGTAACTCTCTGGTTTGCTCAGACAAGATTAATTAGCACACCTGGGGCCCTAAGGTCTGCTGACCCTAATAGCAGACCATCCGGCCTTCAAGGGTCAGGTCCTCAATGGACAGAGGGTCCCACCCCCTCCCTAAGCTTGTGGGGTTGCCTTTAAAAACACCTGGGCCCAGGGGAGGGGGCTTCTCTTTAGCCTGCATGCTGGAGGAGCCCGTTTGCACAAACGTTTCCTGTTCATTAAAGCCTCTTGCGTTTTGCAGCAACTGGACTGGACATTGAGTTCTTGGGGGTATCGCCCGAACCTGGAAGACTCCTCATTCTGAGGGTCTTACAAAAGACCCAATATTCTTGCTATATAAATCTTTCACATGTTTGGTAAGCATTAGTCAAACATAATTTATGTTGTTTGTGGCTGTTGTAATGGGTAATATTTCTCTGATTTCTATCTGAGCCCCTTTGTCATCTGTATATTGTAGGGCTACTGATTTTTTTGATCTTCTCTTGTATCCTGCTTGTTTGCAGAATGTTTATGTCAGCTGTAGCAGTTCCCTGGTAGAGCTTTTTGTGTCCTTTATGTAAACTGTCATATCATGTGCAAATCATGATAGTTTGACTTCTTACTTTCCAATTTGCATCCGGTTGCTCTCCTATTGTTGTTTGACTCCTTTTGCAAGAACTTCAAGTAAAATATTGAAGAACTATGGACAGAGAACAGGCTTATCTTGTTCCTGATTTTAGAGGAATCACCTTAAGTTTCTCTGCATTCTGTTTGATGTTGGCTGTTGGTTTACTGATTATCCCTGTCTCTCCAAGACCTTTATCATGAAATGGGGTTGAACTTTATCAAAGGCTTTTTCAGCATCCAGTAAGATGATCACATGGATTTTCTTTTTCAGTTTGTTTATATGGTTGATCACATTGATAGATTTTCAAATGATAATGTAGAGAGCTGCGAAGTGCCATGCTTTAAAGATGGCACTGGCTTCCCCCTTCCACCTTCCAGATGGTGAGCGCTCTCTGTCATAAACAAGTCCTTATTTGGCTAAGCCTGTTCAGCATGCCTGCTTCCCTAAAAGAGCTTCCTATCTGCAGGGTCCACATTTCTCACTAGGGTTGGTCAGCACAAGGGGATTTAACTCTGTTTCCCTGGAGTTAGAAGAAAAAGCATGTTCAAGGATCATGATTAAACTGCTAGAAGAAGATCTCCCCTGAGTTGTGTCTTCCTTGTTGATTGAGGTTGGGCGTGACATGATAAACCATCCCTGCAATGCAGGAATGAAGCCTCCTTTGTCATTGTGGATGATTTCCCTGATGTGTGCCAGGATTTTATTTGCTAGTATTTTATTGAGGCTTTTTCATTCGAGTTCATGAGGGATATTAGTCTGTAGTTCTCTTTCTTATTTGTATCTTTTTGTGTCTTTGGTACCTAGGTACTTGTGGCCTCATATAGTTTGGTAATATGCCTTCTGTTCCTATTATGTGGAACTATTGAGGAATATTGGTATTTGCTTTTCTTTGGATTTCTGGTAGAAGTCTGCACTGCAGCCATCTTGCCCAGGGATTCTTTTGGTTGGGAGGGTTTTGATGACTGCTTCAATTGGTGACTCTATTGGTCTGTTATCCAGAGGTTCCTCCCTCCCACATCAGTTGGTGAGACACGGGGAGGCCTGGCTGGGACCCCAGGCCCTGCACCACAGTGCACAATAGGGACAGCCCAAGAGAAGGGACAATGTGCCTTCTATCCAATCCACCAAAACCCACAAAATCTTGGAGAAAGAGAATTTGAGAGAACTTGTGGGAGGGGCGGAGAGAGCTTGAGGATTCCTCTGAGCATGCCCTGCTCTAGGAGCCAGAAATGGAGAGCAGGTCATGAGCAGTGTGCTCATGTTTGATTGGGGGTGGTGCGTGGGGGAAGAGGTTGCAGTTAGGCAGGCAGGGATGGTATGCATGGGCTAATGTGTTTATAGGGTTTTCTAAATGGACTGTCAAAGTGCACTATTAATGGCAAAAGGCTACATTATCGGGCAGGGGAATAAGAGTTGTGAGGTGTGTTGCACATGGCATGGGCCAGTCGGTAGCTCCAGGAGGGCATGGAGGGGGCTTTTAGAGACAAATCAGGTGAAAGGGGAAGCAGATGGAAAGGAAGATGGAGGGGTGGGGGGAGCGATTGAAAGCATGCTTTGCCCATGCTAGCTAGGGCTAGCCACATCAGAGTCTCAAGGATGACAGTGTCTCTGCCCCTTGACATAATGATCTCAAGGCAACGAGATATGGGGAGGCCCCCTGGGACCCTGGGCCCTGTACCACAGTGCACTACAGGGACAGCCCAAGTGAAGTGACAATGTGCCTTCTAACCAATCCACCAAAACCCATACAACCTAGGAGAGAGAGAATTTGAGAGCTCCTGGGGAAGGGGCAGAGAGAGCGTGAGGCTTGCACTAAGCATGCTCTGTTCTAGGATACCAGACAGACCTGAAGCACTGCACCATCCACCACAACCAGAGCAGTACGTAGTAGAGCTGTGCATGAAGTGAAGGTGAGGGTGGCCAGGCCCAAGGGAGGGTACTGCAGAGGGTCTCTTTGCTGGGCTGTGGTGGTGGCCTGGAGCAGTGAACTCACCTAAGCCATGGCTCAGCAGGCAGTGGCAGTGGCAGTAGAGCTGGATGAGTCATCAGTGCGGTTCTGAAAAGATGACGGGGCTGTGAGTGGCCTGCACTTGTGATGGTGTTCCTGAGTTTGGAACCTAGGAATGAGTGGTGGAGCCACTGCTAGCTGGGCCTGTTTTGTGCCCACTCATAGAACCTTGGGCCCGCACATTTTCTCCCAGGTCTCCCTTTTGGGCAGGGGCCTCTTTCCTCCTGCTTGAGGCACAGAATGGACCCCATATATAGCATTGCAAGATTACAGCAGCCACACCCACCACTGCCTAAGCTCTTGGCACTCAACTCCTGCATGGTAGTCCTTATCATACCACTGGCTCTTTGCAGGCACTGCAATGGAGTAAGGGCCCCTGGCTGGAGATATGGGTATTCACCTGGAACCCATCAGGTCCATACTGATGCTCTGCAGCTCCATCCAGAGGTAAATCTGCTGCCAGATATGCTGCTCAAGCCCAGGCCACCAGGTAGCTACAGGGCTAAACCAAGTGCCATTCCAGGCCAGATCATACAATGTGGCCACCTTGGTTGAACTTGAAAGCTGGTTGCTCACTAGTTTCCTCTCTCTTTGGTCTGCAGGACTAAGGGACAGAGGAGGGGCACCGAGGCCCCATGTGTAGGAGGAAGCTTTAGCTTTGCACACTCGCATGGATTTTAGTTGCTTCTTTGGCCAGTGGTTTGGCTCAGATTTCTCCTAATAGTTGTAAACTCGCCATTGTTCCCTGGCTGCTCAGAAACTTGCATCCGGATTTTTTTTTCAACTGAGAGCCATTGGTGTTCAAGTTTTGGCAATGAACCCTGTGAATGCTACTGCTCTCTACATTTCCGCCAGCCGCCTAGTGCTCAACCATGACCCTGGAGACCCCAAGGCATTTCAAGAGATTATCAGTATCCTGCCTTACTTGCGACAGTCCCTCTCTTGCTGTGTTTGTGGACATTTGCTACAAGATCCTATTGCACCCACCAAATCCACCTGTCAACACAATGTCTGCAAAACTTGTAAAGGCAAGAAAATGATGATGAAATCTTCATGTAGCTGGTGCATAGACTATGAGCACTTTGAGGAAAACAAGCAGTTAAGCATCCTAGTAAACTGCTACAAGAAACTATGTGAATATATAACCCAGACAAGACTGGCACAGGACATAAGAGAAGCAGTTGACTGTTCTTCTGATATTTTAGCTTTACTCAATGAAGGATCATTGTTTTGTGAGGACACAGAGAAACCTTCAGACTCATCCTTCACTCTGTGTTTGACACATTCCCCTTTACCTTCAACCTTATAACCCACAGCAGATCCCCATGCTAATTTATCTCCAAAGTCTGAAAGCACCCTCAGCATTGCTATTGACAGTTCTGTTGTCAATGGTTTGCCTAATTACAAAGGACTTTCAATAGATAGATTTGGTATAAATATCTCCTCACCCGAACATCCAAATATGATTGACATGTGTAATACTGTTGATATAAAAACTGAGGACCTGTCTGAGAGCCTGTCACCTGTCTGTGACATGGTAACCACTGATTTGTGCTCCACAGTTATTGATATCTGGAGTTTGAGTGAAGAGACAAAACCTGGTGACTCTTTTTTGCTGAGTGATGAGGAAGTAATCCGCAGTTTGGAGACTGTTTCAAATACAGAAGTTAGATGTCCTAATTTGTATACAAATTTGGAAGCCACTGTATCCAATGAAACTTTTTTGAAGCTTTCTTGCAAGTCTCTTAACCATAATATTTTTATGTCTACCAGCCCTACACCTCATGTGTTAGCAAGTACAGCAGCAACTCCAAAGGTAGCAAAGTTGAATCGAAAAAGAACCAGATCTGAAATTGACAGTGAAAAAGTTCAGCCACTTCCAATTTCTACCATTATCAGAGGCACAACACTTGGGGCTTCTGCTCTTGTGATGGTGAAGCATGAAAGGAAAATCATCCTTCAACTTATAGCTACAGTTTCCAATGGAGGCATAACAACCAAGACCACCAAAAGTGTACTTTTATCTACTAAAAGCATGAAAAATAGTCATGAACATGGATCCTAGAAATCCCACTCTAAACCCAAGCCAGGTATTCTTAAAAAAGACAAGGCAGGAAAGGCAAAGATTCTTAGTCATCATGTCATGCCAGGAAGTCCTACCATGACTGTGTACAAAAAGCCTCAGGGAAAGAAAGGATGTAAATGTGGGCATGATATGCAAAATCCAAGTAATTTTACATGCAGCAGACAGTGCTGCCATTGTTACTCTAACCAGAGAGCCTGCGTACATTGCAGATGTTGTGTCTGTCAGAACTCCTACATGGCCAATGGGGAGAAGAAGCTGGAGGCATTTGCTGTGCCAGCAAAGGCCTTGGAGCAGAGCAGACTCACATTGGGCGTTAATGTGACCAGCAATGCTGTGCGCAACACAAGTACCAGTACCAGTGTACCAATGTCACAGGGACCCCAGTAATGACATTTGATGGGAGATGCCATTATGTAAATATGTTTCTCATACTGGTTAATGAATAAAGCACTGTTGGCCAATAGGGAAGGAAGATAGGAGGGACTAGGAGACAAGGAGGATAGAAGAAGTAGGAAGGAGGAGTCAAGATGGAGAGTCTGGAGAGAACAGAACCGCAGTTCCTCTGCTCTTGGTAAGACGACATGGAAATACATAGAAATGGGTTAACACTTAAGACAGAGCTAGCTGATAAGTAACTAGTAACTGGCCAACAACATAATATCAAATACCGAGTCTCAGTGTGTTAATTGGGGCTGGTGCGGCTGCAGGACAAGACTGGCAGCAGGAGAAAAAAAAACACACTCCTTACGTATGGTGCCCATTTAAAATTTAACAAAAGCTTAAAAAGGTTTTAGAACAGAGACAAGCAAGGTTTTTTGGTAGCAGTGTTTTTCTCGGTTGGACTCTGCTTTGTGAGAGACAATTAGATATTTGCGCGGCTCCTTTAAGGGACGGTTCCTGACTCAGCAAAAGCTGCAAAAAACTGCATGGCTTTATAGAATCACAGCTAACAATGTATTGGTGTGTATGAGAGATGGCAATGGCAGCGACCACATCTCCAAGCCGGCAGCATGCTTGCTGAATGGCAGTGCAGACCAAGGCCGTGGGCACAACTTTCAGTGCTGGCGGTAAAAACACCTGCCGCCATCTTTGGTAAACCACAGCAAGAACAAATATCACTTTCATTTCAGCAATATTGTTGTTTACCAGATAAAAGACTCATGGCCAGAAAAATATAAACATTTACAGTAAAGACAAAATCATATTAAGAAAAACCTCTAAAGGTTTTCATTGTGTTTTAAAATATACATAGACATAGTGAAAAAATTAAATGGTTTTAAAAAGACAAAGAGGAACTGGGTGTGGTGGCACACAACTTTAATCCCAGAATTTGAGAGACAGAGGCAAGCAGATCTCTTGTGATTTCAAAGTAAACCTGGTATGCAGAGTAAATTCCAGGACAGATAAGAGTTACATAGAGAAACCCTTTCTCAAAAAATAAAATGTAAAACAAACAGAGTAATAATAAAGCCACGTAAAGATGAAAAGCTCAGAGAGAATCTGGTTACTATATGGTGTTATATTGTCTTTGTATCTTTTGACTGCTTAGGAAATAACAACTGTTAAAACAAATGGTGCTGGATCAATCCAATTTATATATTTTAAAAATGCGTTGACTCAAAAATTTAAGTTCAAGTACAAGTTACTGGGGAAAAGGATTTCTATTTTTGTTTCCACAGAAAATGAAAAGCTGTGGATTCCTTCCAGACTAATGTGGTTTGAGCAAGCCAGACCCCCTGAAACAGCGTACCAGGTGATCCTTCATTTAAAACAGCTTGAACAAGCCAGCCTTGCAGACTACAGCCAGGATTTCTGTGTCTTCTTAGGATCCCTATGACAGTGCCCCCTATCAGCAGGAAGTAGTTTGGAAAGAACAACGCCCAAATTCCAAAATATTGTTTATAAATGTTTGTTTTCATTTTAATGGGGTTGGTCATAAATGGTTAATGATCACAACCAATATGTCTTTAAAGGCAAAAAGGGGATTATGGTATAGATATGATTACTTTGCTTTGGAATGTATTTTCATTTATTGATACAAATTTAAGGTCAATTTTGTGATATGTATATTTCTCCTCTTGTTTAGGTATTGTGTTTATATAGCTCATTTATAAATGTAATGTATAATGTATGTATAATGTATTACAGATTATAAATAATTTCCTAGGATAGTCAAAGCTTAGAGTTAAGTTAGTTAGGTTTTTCAAGATACACAGAGATGTATTTGAGAGAGATAGGAATTCTTCAAACCTTTCAAAGACCTGCAGAATATGGCATTTAAAATGGTTTAGGGTTAAAGGCAAGCACCACCACAACCTGGATCCTAAAACAGACTTTAGCATTACAAAGTTACTGCCATTTTTAAGTTCTTTCAGGGTCAGATTAAAACTGACACTTTGAAGAATTTAAGTAGTAATAAGAAACAGCAAGTAAGGCCAGGAATACCATTAAAGTTTTCAACAGAAAAATTAGTATAATAATTATTTAATAGTACATGAGTAATAATAAACAGAGGTTCACAATTCACTGACAGTACTTGGAGTATTGGTCCAGAACATGAGGAATAGAGGAAAGGCTGAAAAAAGAAAAGATAAAACTTGGGGAAGGGACATCTTGCTTATCCTTTGTTATATTCTTAGTAAGCTTCTTATGAGGAATAGATTCCTGTTCCCTCCTTTTGGGGGTAGATGGAAGAAATGGGAGGCTTTTAGGAATTCAGTAGGAGTTATCTTTCAATGTGACCAGCTCATGAGCAGCCTACTCAAGCATTGCATCAAGAGGAGAAAACAGTTCATCTGGGGAACTTCAGTGATTAAGCCCACAGTGCCCTTGGGACCGATAACCCCAGCTCCATGTGGTGGGAGTAGTAGTGTGCACAGGACATGAAGCAACCTTGACATGAACCACAAATGCCCTGGATTCAGACAATTGCATTCTCTCCAAAGCATCTTCATTATGTTAAAGGAGGGGATCTATTTCATTCTCAATACCTGAGGGTCGAAGTCTAGGTCGCCAGGCTGATAATGGCTGTACTATGTTCATTTGTGGGTTTGAGAAAGAGCTATGTTCCTTCTTTGTGAGTCAGGACCTAAACACATGTCTTGCTTGCTCAGTCAACCCCTCAACAAAACAGTGTTTACCTTTTCCAACAGTTCTCCTCTGGGCTCATCTTGCCCTTCTGACTGAACTATGATTTTCTCTAGAAGAAAACTTGACCATCTGGCAGACCACTCCAATAATTCCCCCATAAGCAGCCTGAGAGTGACCTCTTCTATGATATGAGGATGGGCCAAGGGGCTGTTTGTAAATCAGGAGTTTCTCCTTTGACATGATTTGCAGCCAAACTCCTACAGAGACATATGCAGATACAAAAAGAGATAATTGTTACATGGCTTAACATTGTGTTTAGGTCAACTGCATTTGCTTTTTACCTGGTTGTCACAGGCACTTAAAATCAAGAAAGAGAAGCAGGATCCAGATGACAAACAAGATAGTAGCTTTTTCCCCTCCTAGAAAGCTGGATGATGGCTCTAAGAATGTAGGAGTTTTATCCCTGAAACTCAGAGCAAGTGCTTCGAAAATGCATAGTAATGAAAACAGTAGACTTCCTAGAAGGTTTACTATTTGGAGAGAAATGAAACTAGGAAGTTTGTATTTGTGAGCAATATTGTTAGTCAACACATGTTCAATAGCAGGTTAAAATCAAAAGAAAGCAAAAACTAACTGCATTATTCGAGGTTCTCTGCATGAACAAGGATGGTAGGATGAATCGCTCCATGAATGTAATGCATGGATTTATTATAATGTCTCATAGGCTGTGGTTCAGGTAGTGCAAAAATGGCTGCCTAACAATGGGCATCTGAAGACTACAGCAGTTGTTTAGTTCATCATGGTACATGTCTTAGCTGGTCATCATTATACTCTTAAAGTCCAAAGGAGAAAGCTCTAAAGCTTGTAAAGTAATAAACTTGGTAGCGGTAGCTAGAGCAAGCAGCAACAGAAGGAGAGCCTCCTCCTTCAATACCCTTTATACATGCAGAATACCACCAGATGGTACAACTCATATTAAGGTGAATCTGATTCTTCCTTATGTGTTTTGTTTTATTATTGTATTTAATTTTTGATTGCTGACAGCCTCCTTAGTTCTGATATTAAACATGTGCACTGCCATCAAGTAGTTAAAGATGGATCTCATCATTTAATTCCACATAAAGCTTCCCTGAGTGGCTTTGACAGTTCTGTAACACATTCTGCCTTTCTGAAATCCTATATGGGAACCCATTCCAACTTGTCATGGATACAGAGATCTCAAATAACAACTATTGTCCCTAAGATATTATTTTTCCTACTATAGGTTGTCTGGGCCTTCTTGGTGAATATCTCCTATCTAAAAGCAATATATCTGGGCATATACAGGCTTATAGACACCCTTCAGGCAGGGAATATGTGAAAGTATGCCATTCTTTAAGGCAGATAATATGTGCAGTTATGGAGTGTCTTTAGTATTAGGGGAAGCAATTCCTATTTGCTCTTTATACATATTAAAAGAACACCTCTGCCATTGCCCTACCATTGGTTGACTAATGTTTGACAAATGAATTAAATGGAGCATTCAGTATTTGTAGTGAGATAATTGCCTTGTCCCTGCCTGCAGCCCAGACCACGCCCATTGGGGGGTGGAGACAGGGCCGGATGTGACCCAGGGGAAATAATTTTGAGGAGCATACTGGGAGAGCTCTCTTCCCTGCAGCACAGGAACAGATTCCTGGGAACAGGAACCTGCTGGAGTTCATCTGTCTATGTTGTAAGTTATTTCTCCCTGAATAAACATCTACTCAGCCTATTTTCTTCTCCTGATCCTTACCAAACGTCGATATCTGGTGTCAGAAGTGGAATTCGGATTTTTACCGGACCTGGTTTTCACCAAGGCAGCAGATGCTGCTCACTTCCCACACCAACCCCGAATGGGCAGGGTTCCTTGCCTAACCAGGTGGATATACCACAGCTTGTGGGACATTTGCCTCTGCCCTACAACTTTATCTCCACAGCGGCCCTGAGAAAGCTTGCACTGCTTCTCATCTTTTACCATTTCCCCACTTTGCATTTGCAGCTGTGGCGCACATGGCACCTGCCCAGCTGGTGTGTTTCCTGCAGCCCAAAGGTGCCAGTAAGAGGCAACACCTGTTAGCGCTGGGGTCCCCGAAATTTGCACAAGGCTCCTTTCACTCATTCATTTAACAAAATTTTGCTTGCCTTAGTTTGTTAAGGGATATTCTACAGGGAACAAGATCAGAAGGATTATCTGCTGCTGGATCCTATTTGGTGGGTCTCCTCCAGGCATTACCACCACAAGTTGAGATCAACAACTAAAACCATCAAAGTTCGAGGACAGCAGAATTACACCT